TCAATCAATCAATCAATCAATCAATCTCATGGTGTCCTATACTTAGAAATTTTAAAAATATTCAGATTTCAGTGGAAGGTGATAGGTTTGATATTTCTTTCTTTACTTTTTATCCCACCTTTGTTTTGTATAAGTCAAGGCAGTATATATAATGCTCCCTCTTCCTGTTTTCCCATACAAAAACCCTGTGAGATGTTTGGGCTGAAATAAAATGATTGGCTCAAAGTCACTCAGTTAACATACACTCAATATCCTGGAACACCTTCCTCCCAGAAGTGCACCTGGCTCCTTTATTACTGACATTTTGCAAAGCTGTGAAAACAATCTTATTCAGGTAGGTTTTCAAAACCTATGGAGACTGAGCTGCTTTTTCTGTCAAGTTTTCATATGATTTGGGGGGAGGGGGGATTTATTTCACTCTATTTTAGGATATGTGATGTTTTACTATATGAGTTATGTTTATGTTTTTGTACACTGCCAAGAACCTGGTGATATTCTATTGTGCCTGTAAAATAATCTAATTCTGTTCCAGATTATCAGCAGAAAACAACTATCCAGAAGATCATATCCTGGATCCCAAATCAGGGTTCAGGGAATTCTAGCCTCTACACGTCGGACACGGGTAAGGTAGCAGCAACAGTTTTGTGAAACCCTCCCTCTAGAAATTGAGCAGAATTGCCTTTATATTGTTTTATTTAATGCATTTCTGTTCTAAAGTGTTGGCTAGTTTAACACTTCAGTTCTTTAGCTTTATTTGAAAAGCAGAGTATATATTTAATAATAATACAAATTCAAAATATTTATTAAAATTTAAACAAGAACAGTGACTTAACAACATTCAAGTTTCCCTAATCTATAACTGATAGGTTCTTGTACTAGTTTTCTTGGAATCATGTGACAAATGCTCGTTATATCCAAGGACAGAAGAGTTTCCATCAGATAGCAAGTACGAATGACTCCATTTCAGCACTCTGCTATGCCTTGACAACTGCTCTAGAGCACTGCGACCATCCAGGGAGAGAAAGGAGCAGATATTTGTCAGTGTGGAATTGAAGAAAAATATATTTGAAGTGTTTTAAAGAAGTGAACTCTATAAACATCATACCATACATAAAATGTGAATAGCAATGCTTTTAAAAAGAACTAATCAAATAAAAGAACTAAATGATCTTCAAAAACCTTGTTTTGCAGGAAATATTTATCCTCACTCTAACATATTTATTTTTTAAAAATCTGCAGGAATGTTACAACCAAAACTTCTCCCTGTTTTTAAAGCACATTCTTAACAGTTAAATTATACAGTCAGGTCCAGAAATATTGAGACATCGACACAATTCTAACATCTTTGGCTCTATACACCAC